AGAGTCCAGAAATAAATCACACGTTTATGATCAGAAGAGTCTTTGTAACAAATGATGCTGAGACAACTAGATACTCACATGCAAAGGGAAAAGTTAATCCTGTTATGGATTGACTTGTAAATCCTCCCCTCCAAATAAAAACAAACACAAAACAAAAAACTTGTTGCAAATCCTCATCTCTAAATTTATGGTTATAATGCCATTTGGGAAAGGACTGTCTTTGTCATGCTAACGAGACATAGTTAGTGTAGGCTGTACATTTAGTCAATCTCTTTTGAGATAAAGAGATTAAACAATCAAGTAGAAAGAAAGTTGGGGTAAAATTGATGCCAGACTCCACAGAATTCTCCCGTGAACCAGGAAGCAGCAGCTGAACAGACAAGCAGCTTACAGAGCTAACAGAGAGAGCCTTGCTTTTGAACCAGAACTCTGCACTTCACCTTCTAGTGAGTAAGACTTCAAACCCACCGAGCTTCCTATGCTACTTCCTGGCAATAAAATATTATTTGTCCATAAAAAAGATATTAAATATTAGCACAAGTTAAAGTATGGATGAATCTTGAAAGCAGTATGCTAATAAAAGAAGCTATCACAAATGCCACATATTATATGATTCCACTTATATGATGTGTCCAGAACAGGTAAATGTATAAAGATTTTGGTAGCTGCCAAAGTGCTGGAGGAAGGAGGCCAAGGGAATGACACCTAATGAGTCTGAGACTTCTTTGTAAAGCCATGAAAATGTTCTGGAATTAGTGGTGATAAAGTGCTACTTGGAGCTCTTGGTAACCTAGTAGTAAGGAGTTGTGCTGCCAACTCACAGGTATGTAGTTTGAATCCACAAACCACTCTGTGAGAGAAAACTGGGCAATCTCCTCCCATGTATGCACAGCTTTTGCAAATCTGCTTGAGTGTCAGCTAGAAGTCTGTTCTAACTTGACAGCACACACCAACAACAACATAGTGATGGTGGCAAGAGCTCAGACACAGTTTATACATTTAAGATGACAGTGAAAGTTGCCTACGTAAGATCCTTTCACCTGATTGCTCAGACAGTTGCCCAAGTTTAGGAAGGTAGGAAGTTGTCATTTAACTTGATTAAAACTGTGAAACTATTATTCCGGGAGCTAAGGCTTTGGGACCAAGTCATCCTGACTTTTTTTTCTTTAAAAGAATTCTTCTAGAGATCAGAGCTATAAAAATGAATAAAAAGAGAGGAAAAAAACAACAAACACCCAACCCAAACAAATCTGAGAAAAATGCTTGAAGAATGCATCATCAGCAAAGAAATCTGATAACTGTCTGCCGTGAATGTCAAACCCAGTATGCCCGACAGCCATCACAGGAAGAGACTTCATGGGGCAAAGGAACTTATCAGATCTCTGGACAATTCCCTGCTGTACATTTCCCTCATTTTTTTCCTTACCTACTCCCTTTGGCCACCCCATTTAAAGGTCTGGTTTGATTCCAAGATGTCAGAAAATGATCTGTAAGGCATCTCAGCTGTTCCTGGTGATCTCTGATCCCCAGTGTCTGAGTAAGAGATTCAATCCTTGTCTCTACTCAGTTGACTTATTGTGACAGAAAAAGAATGTAGTCATTTTCTGGTTACAGAGTTGGAGACTTTGCTGGAATAATACTGGGAATCTTCCTGGTGAAAAATCCTTCCAGCTGCATGGACACCATGAGCAGGGAGGGAAGACTTAGAAACTCTTAAGCAGGGATGCCAAGCAATTTTTGCTGTTTTTTATTTTGACCTCCAGAGACTTCCATCACTTTCACTCTGATTGAATCACCAGTGCTTTCTGGTCTGGTTTTGAGTGCTTTACTTTTCTGGTTCAGGTAAATCAGCCGTAAGGCTGTATGATCAAGTGCTTTCCTGATTTGGGTAGATGTGCTTAAGGTTATCTCCTGTTTGTTGAATGTCACAGCACTTTCTGTCATCTTATAGGCATACCAGGCTGTATGAGTCTGGCTTGAAGTGATTCTTCTGATTAGGGTAAATCACTGTGAGGATGCCTGTTTTTGTGTGAGTACTGGTTTTCTGGTAACTTTTCAAAACTCCATCTAGTCAAGAATGGGGGAAGAAGCCCCCATTCCTGGACAAAGCCTTTGGTTAGTTTGATGATTTTCTGTAGAGTTCTGTCTGCTTAAGAATGAAGAGAGATGCTCCCATTTCTAACAAAGCCCTTTATATCAGTCTGGTGATTGACTGATTGATTGACTATATGTTAATGTTTTATTAATACAGCTTAATCTGATTTTTTAAAAATCAGACTATTAAGCATATTTAAGAATTAGTAAATTCAGAAAAATATTTCTTATATCTTCTACCAAAGAGGAATATTTACTTCATGTGGTCTTAATTAGCATATAATATCAGAAGTTTTCTCTGGAAATTAGATTTTAGGTCCACAGTTCCTCAAAATATGACAATGATACATCTTCTGAAAGAGTTTACAAAATGATGCGGTGGATTGCTAAGGACATTCCATTTAAGGTTTAGCTGCTGAGAAGATAATAAAGTCCTTGGGAAAATAAACCTTCAGGATAAAGTAAAAGACCTTTACTCCAGTTCTTTCAAGCTACTTCGTCAACACCAGCAGTGAAACCTGACACACCACTTGAGGAAACTTAGAAAAGTCTCTGTACCGGAGAAAGCACACATGTAACTCTCCCTGGGGGCTTCTGGTCACTGTGCCCTGAGGCAGTGAGCTCCTGCAGGGGCTGGGCTACGTGGGAGGAGCCCGCCACAACTCCTGGATTCTCCAGGTCAGGAACAAGGTTTACCAGTTGCTGCAGCTATGACTTTTCTAAGTTTGAAAATTATCTCAATCAGTTCATATCTCCCATTTGGAGCTTGGCACAGGGGAGGCTTTGAGAAGAATGATATCCCCAGCTGTGCATGGTTGGACAGCATCGTGTGCAAAGTCAGTCTTCTGTTTATTGTAATACTTCAATAGACAGGGATCCAGAACCAACCTAATCACTGTCACTTTGCTGTGGCTTTCATCACCTCTCACCGAAGATCCTGAAGACTCTCAGCTTGCCTTTGTCCAGCCACCCAGTCTGATAACTGTCTGGTTAAGAATGGAGGAAGAAGCCTCCATTCATGAGCAAAGCCCGTCAGACTAGAGTCTACGTGTTCAGTCAACCTATGCTTATTCCTCTGTGAGAAAGAAGAAAGTTGCATTTTATTGAATATTGTTTAACTAATGTATAACCTTGATTCAAGTGAATGGTAACCATTAAACAACTCTTTGAATTATTTTACTATTTCACAATTTAAAATGTTTTGTTAAATATCTGGAATGTAAAATAGAGTCCTGTACATATGACCCTTTATATCTATCCATAACTAGGCAACATGAACTGTAGAAAGGGGCCCGTAGCCCCATTGTCCAGTCTTCCTCCCTGATGAGTTACCCTCAGAGCACGGCCAATGAGGGAACAACAGCAATGGCTAATCCTCACTGTGACTCATATGTACGTATTGTAAATGCCACCACACCCCAATGATCTCACACATGTTGTGGTGGTGGCTTTGGACTCGTCCTCTCATTCTCATTGTGACACCAGCCATCTCCTCTCTAGGGAACCACAGAGACATCTTAGCAGCACAGGAGGTGTTCTTCACAATGATATTCACACCCCACTTAACCACTAACTTCCCAGATTTCAGCTACCTGGCTCTCCTCACTTCATTCTAGACACACTCACAGGATTGCAAGAGAAAGCTCAGATTCTTTAGTTCCATCTGAGGCAACATCCTTTCTTAGCATGGTCTTAAGAGAGGCTGTTTCTTGGAGAGGGATATCGTGCTTGGAAAGGTGAAGAAGAGGAAGATTCCCACCAGGTGGCCTGACACAGTGACGACAACAACAGGCTTAAGTGTAGCAGAGATTGTGAGATGGCACAGGATAGGGACAAGGTTCCGATCTGTTGTTCATAGAGTCACTATCATTTATACTCGGCTCAATGGCACCTAACAACAACATCTGCCTCTGAAAACCCACAGAAGGGTCAACTGTGAGTCTGTTCCAACTCAAAGGTACACACAAGCAACAACATCAATCTGAATTTCAGACAGCGATGGATAATTTCTCGTGTAAGTATATCACAAATATTGCATTATCAATTGTTTATCTGAAACCCAAAATAACCCGTGATTTTGATTGTTAAATCTGGTAGCCCTGCATACTGTCCTCCGTGTTTGTTCTGAAATGCACTATGTCCAAAACACACTGTGACGCAGAGCATGCTGCATTTGTTTCCTCCTTCACTTGACCTTCTCTTCTCCAGATGCTCATGTGTTCCATTTCAAACTTTAAGTCTTTGAACACACTGACCTCATCACAGGACCCCCTCGACCAGGCCCCCTGTGCATAAGAGCAACTTCCCCTTAACTTTTTCAGCACACACTACCAGCAGACACACTACATAGTTAACTGACAACTTTGCCCTCAGCGTATGGAAACCCATATAGGCAGGACTTCTTTCCTTCTCTACTCCATTCCCAGAGCTAAAGAGAGGACCTGTCACAGAGTAAGAAATAAGTTAATGTTTATTGAATGAATACCAAGTGTTGTGCATGGGTACTTAATTTAATTTTCAAAACAGCCTTATGAAATATCAACTGGCACTAGCTGTGTTTCATAGGTACAAGATCAAGTAAAAGGCAAAGAGGCTCACAGCAGCCAGAGGTGGGGCTGGGCCCAGACAGTGCCAGACCCCTGACTCTATGCTTTGACTCATGTCAGGGCCAACTAAGAGTTAAGGAAGCAGGGTTCCCATTCCACTGTCATTCCAATTATCCTGGGTTAGACTAAGGAGGAAGCCCATGTCTGGGAGCCTGTGTGCGCGTCATACACTTTAATCCTGTAATTTAATAACACTACTTGTTTTTGTTTACATAATTATTGTTCAACATAAAGAAGTGTTGCAAGTAACCACTTGAATCTCCATGTAATAGAGAAGTCTGTGGGGGTGTTTATACTCACTTTTATTTCTTCTTGAACGTCAGGATTGTAGAAATTCAAATCTGGTTGCTCTTTCAGAAACTGATGAAAATAACACTGCTTTCGTACTTCATCAAAGTGCCAACTGGAATTCCCATATACACTTACCTAGCAAACAAAGAAACAGCCCATCAGTCAGTATTATTCACATGATGACAGTGTCCACTAAGAAATAATGATTACCCCTGACTTTGTGCAGACAGGAGCTTATAACCTGTGCATTTTCCTTCTAAGAAGAACACTAGGCTAAATTGACTCTGTGAGGTGGCATGCCCTGGCCAAATACCCACAGGGTGGGTAGACAGATATATACAATAGATCTTGTTTCTAAGAATCACAATAGCAAAAACAATGTTCTCAGATTCAGAACACAGTCAACTGAAGGGTCACCTATTTCTAACATGTCTTCTTCACATTTCTATGTAGTGATAGACTCCTGTTTCTGAAGAAAAGTGGTCAATTTGAGAGAAAAAAATGGTCTTGGAATTTGAATGCACAATGTGAATAATTTAACTTTATCCTTGATTGTTATAAGAATTAACTCTAAAACTCTACTTGTCCTCAATAATTTAAAAAAAATCTCAATCTCTCTCTCTTTCTCTCCCTCTCTCTCTCTCTCTCTCTCTCTCTCTCTCTCACACACACACACACACACACACACACACACACACACACACACTGCAGCTAAGTCAATGTCTGACTCATAGCAACCACCTGTCGAGCTTCCTAAGGTCAGGTCTTCACAGGTGGAGACTGCCTATCTCTCTTCATGGAGTGGCTAGTCGGTGGGCTTGACCCACCAACCTTTTGGTTAGAAAAATACCACCAGAGATGCTTGGTACTCATGACACTAAAAAACTAACCCAAACCTGTAAGGTAAGGCCTGAGGTTCTCCTCTGACGTGCTCCAGCCTCTTGAGGTGCGTCTTCTAGAAATGGTTACATCACTGTTCCAGGCCCCAACTTTTCTGGCTGTCCTCCTCCTACATCTCTGGTGACCACTCCTCAGTCTCCTCTGTAGTTCCTTACATGTGAGTGGTCCTTGGGACCCCAACTTAGGTCTTTTGTTTATTTCATGCCAAAGAAAGTGTCTGGGCAATATTTTAAAGCTGGAGGATTTTCTAGAAATCTGGTTTTGTCTACCATACCACCCTGAATGAGTCTGATCTCTTCTGATCTCGGATGATAAACCTGGTCGGACCTGGTTACTGCTTGGATTGGAGAAATCTTGTTTTCTTTTCCCGATTGAAGATAACAACTGACTGAAGATAAGTAGTAAGTGCTGCCTAGGAAGGAAGCACTCTCACCAGTCCAACACTTGCCCTGTGTGCACAAACCTAGGATAAGATATTTGCAATATAGATCTAGATATAAACAACCATCAAAGGATCAGTATCCAGAACACAAAATGAACTCCACCAAACACTTTCAGGTAAAAATGATTCAGAAGGAAACTAAGGAGAGAAACCATAAACAACACACGTTTCAGAGCAATGAAAGCACAAAATACATTAATACGAAAAGATGCTCAATACCACGTGTAACTGGACAAATGTAAAATCATTCTCAGTGTGATGCTGTAGTATATTTACTTAAATGACAAAATGGGAATAGAGGGAATTAGTGAGAATATGATTTTTATACTGCTGGAGAGGTGCAATCACCTTGGAAATCAATTTGGCATTATCTTGTGGAGCAAGACACACAGGATCCTATAGACCTGGCTACTTCATACCTCGTTATTTGCCTTAAAAAGTCTTTGCATGTGTACACCAGGAATTGACAGAATTGTTATATTAGTAGAGAGCTGTTAACATCTCAATGTCCACCAACTGAAAAGCCGATAAATAAACCACGGAGCATTCACACATTAGAATACTACACAACAGTGACAATGTCTGATGTACAGTATAAGAAACAAGGAGTGAAAAAAGGTTATTGCAGAAGGCAATACATGTGTATGACACTCCTCAGATAAAGTACACAACATGAGCAGCTACATAATATCTTTTTCCAAATATGAATAGCATATATAGTATAAATGGAACCAAAAGAAAAGGCTTTATCTGAGAATAAAATTCAAGGTAGTGGAGCAGGTCTGGTGAAGGTCATGGGAGGTGTACATAGATAGTTTTAACAGTGTCAAAAGCTCAAATGCTTAATTTAGGGGTGAGCCCACTGCTGTCCATGAAGAATGCAAAAGTTCATTACAAAGGCTGAAGAAGAAAATAAGAGCAAGATGGATGTCAGATGAGACTCTGAATATTGCATTAGAGTGCTGAGCAGCCAAAGCTAAAGGAAGAAATCAAGAAATCAAAGAGCTGAACAGAAAATCTCAAAAGGCAGCTCAGGACGACAAAGCAAGATACTATAATGAAATGTGCAGAGGTGGAGTCAGAAAATCAAAAGGGCCAAACTCGCTCAGTGTTTCCTAAGCTGAAGGAGCTGAAAAACAAATTCAAGCCAAGGGTGGCAATACTTAAGGATAGTTTGGGTAGAATGTTAAATGATCCAGGAAGTATCAAAAGAAGATGGAAAGAGTACACAGAGTCACTGTATCAGAAGGAATTGGCTGACACAGGAATTTCATGAAATAACATATGAACAAGAGCCTATGATGATGAAGGAGGAAGTTCAAGTTGCTCTAAAGAAATTGGCTAAAAACAAGGCTCCAGGAGTTGATAGCATACCAATTGATTTATTTCAACAAACAGTTGCTGCCCTGGATGTGCTAAGTTGTGCCAGAAAATCTGGAGGACAGCCAGCTGGCCAACTGACTGGAAGAGATCGATGTTTGTTCCCATTCCTAAGAAAGGTGACCCAACAGAGTGTGGAAATTATCGAACGATATCATTGATATCACATGCAAGCAAGATTCTGCTGAAAATTATCCAAAAACGTTTGAAACAATATGTCAACAGAGAACTGCCAGATGTGCAGGCTGGATTTAGAAGAGCTCATGGTACTAGGGATATTATAGCTAATGTAAGATGGATCTTGGCAAAAAGCAAAGAATACCAGAAGAATGTCTACCTGTGCTTCATTGACTATGCAAAGGCTTTTAACTGTGCTGATCACAACAAGCTATGGCTGACTCTGAGAAGAATGGGAATCCCAGAACATTTGATTGTGCTAATGCGAAACCTATACTTGAACCAAGAGGCAGTCGTCAGAACAGAGCAGGGGGACACTGGATGGTTCAAAATCAGGAAGGGGGTCTGTCAGGGATGTATTTTGTCCCCATACCTTTTCAATGTGTATGCAGAACAGATCATCTGAGATGCTGGGCTGTACGAGGAGGAATGTGGCATCAGGATTGGTGGAAGAATCATCAACAACCTGCGTTATGCGGATGACACAACCCTGCTTGCTGAAACTGAGGAGGACCTGAAGCACTTGCTGCAGAAAGTCAAGGACTGCAGTCTTCAATATGGACTGAAACTCAATATCAAGAAAACAAAGATTCTCCCCACTGGGCCAATTGGCAGCATCAGTATGGATGGTGAAGAGATTGAGATAGTTAACAGTTTTAGTTTACTTTGTTCCACAGTCAACACTCTTGATAACAGCAGCCAAGAAATCAGGAGACAAATTGCATTGGGAAAGTCAGCTTGAGGGACCTCTCAAGAGTACTGAAGAGCAATGATGTCAGGCTGGAGACTAAGGTGCACCTGATCCAGGCTATGGTCTGCAATTACGTGCTATGCAGTGGAGAGTTGGACAGTGAATAGGGATGATAGAAAGAGAATTGATGCCTTTGAACTGTGGTGCTGGAGAAGAGTGTTGAATATACCATGGACTTCTATGAGAACAAACAAGTTTGTCCTGGAGAGGGTGAAGCCAGAATGCTCCTTGGAGTCCAGGATTCTGAAGCTTTGTTGGACATACTTTGGGCATGTTGCAAAGAGGGACAGGTCCTTGGAGAGGGAAATCATGTTTGGGAGAGTGGAGGGACGGCGCAGGAGAGGAAGACCCTCGATGAGATGGATCAATTCTGTGAGTGGAGTGGTGGCAATGAATGTGTTTGAGATGGCTAGGTTGGCACAGGATAGAATAGCGTTTAGGGCTCTTGTATATAGGTTCTCTATGAGTCGCAAGCAACTCGATGGCACATAACAACAACAACAACAAGAAGAAGGAGTCTACATTATACCAAGTGGGAAGTGAAGGAAATGGGGAAGGAGAGGCTAATGAAGACCAGAGGCTGGTTTTGATTTTCCAGAAAGCAGACTTCTAAATGACAGGAGAAGCTTGGGCATTTTATTTTTATTTCTTTGGAAAAATGTTTTCTTTCCTATACTGCTGTCAGGGACCTCTCTAAAGTGCTAAGAAATAATGACGTCAGTCTAAGGTGCGTCTGTTCCAGGCTACGGTCTTCACAATTGCTTGCTATGGATCAGAGAACTGGACAAGGACTAAGAATGGCAGAAGAATCAACGCTTTTGAGTGTGGTGCTGCAGAAAAGTATTGAACATATCATGGACCACCAAAAAAACAAACAGGTCTGAATTGGAAAGGGTAAAACCAAGTTTCTCCTTGGAGACTAGAAACAAAAAGATTTTTTTTAAGCTAGGAATTTAAAGCTCCATCTTTGGGCATGTTGCCAAGAGGGACCAGTCCTTGAAGAAGGACATCATGCTTGGAATGGTGGACAGATAGAGCAGAAGAGACCCTGGATGAGAGAGATTGCTACAGTAACTGGGGTATTGGAGGTGTGTCAGAGACAGTGAGACTGGCTCAGGACAGGGCAAGTTCAGAGCTATTGTACATATGGTCACTGTTAGTGGGTGACTTAATGGCACATACAACAACAGTATGTTTTTCCCTCAAAAAAATTTATAAATAACCAGTCTAGTCTCTTATGACATAGAGCTCAGGGGGCCTAGTCCACAGGGAGTTGAACTGCTAAACCAAAAGCTTCACAGCCCTGGCAGTTTTCCTCCCCCAGCAGCTCCACGGGAGAAAGATGTGTAATGTCTACCCTTTTGAGTCAGAGTCTTGGAAACCCAGTGGAGGGGCACCGACAAGTCAGTTCTTTCTCGATGGCAACTGAGTTTGAACTGTTTATGATATGCCCATTTCTGCATCCTAAGTCAGCCAAGTTAATACTTACCCAGTTGTTGGGTGGGGTGGTCACACCATTGACGTGGGAACAATCATGCCAGACATAATAATCAGTATACTTTCCCGTACGGTTCCGACTTAATTGAAACCAAGCATGCTTATCACTGGTGTGGTTTGGTATGAAGTCGATTATTAATTTTAGGCCTTATGAATGAGAACATTGCAGATGTTAGAAATATATTAGACCGACAATCAAAAATAAAGAAAAGCTGTGTTTTATATAATTACTTGGATAAAATTCCCCCCCACCCCCAACTAGTCCACCAGCTTCAATGAGCACAGGTTCACCGGTCTGGGTCCAGCACTAGTTGAGGGGAGAAATCATTTTCTTAACTCCCACTCCCCACCCTGTGCTGCCCACTTTCCTTTTAATTTACCTTTATCATGTATAGCTGCAACTAGATTCTCAAAATCTTTCATTGTTCCAAAAATGGGATCAATTTCTCGAAAATCCACAACACCTTGTCGAAAATCTTTAAGGGATGATTTATACAGTGAAGTAATCCAAACTGTTTTTATGTTTAAATTTGTAATATAGTCCAGTTTCTCTTGAATACCTGAAGAAAAAAGCCAAGGTCACAAAAAACCCCTAGAGTTTTTGGCTTGTTTTTAATGTAACTGAAAAATTTTAAAGAAAACAGATTTCTCTATGGTGGTATTTATATTGAAGCCCGGAATATTTGGAAAAGTGTTCAAACTGAATAAAATTCAAATAGCAAGTTCTATCTCCACAACTAATAACAAAATAATCTTCAAGCAACCTCATCAACAAATGATGCTGACAAAACTGGACTTCCACCTGTAGAAAGCTGAAGCAGGATCCACATCTCACACCACACACAAAATCAACTCAGTTCTGGCAGTAAATCAAAGACCTGGGAGTAAAGCCCCAAACCATAAAGTTCATAAGAGACAAACTGGATCAAGCTTAGAAGCCCTAGTGTGCAGTACTAAGAGAATGCCAAAAACAGCCATAAATGCACATTCTGAAGAGGATAAAATTGATGAATAGGACCTTCTAAAGATTAAATCCCTGTGAGCATCAAAACCATTTTCTAGCAAGATGAAAAGAAAACCTACCAACTAGAACAAGCATTTGGTAACACCATCTCAGACAAGAGTTTCATAACAAAAGGTTACAGAATACTCCTGGGCCGCCACAAGAAAAAGACTGATAACCCGATTACAAAATGGGCAAAAGACATGGAAAGAATTTTCACAGAAGAAGATATTCAAATGGCCAACAGACATATGAAGAAATGCTCAAAATCACTGGCGATAAGAGATATACCAATCAAAACCATAATGAGATACCATCTCACTCCAGTAAAAGTGGCAAAGTTTAACAGGAAAGCAAGTAATAAATGTTGGAGAGGATGTGTGGTGAGATAGGAACTCTTATGTATCATTGGTGGGATTGTGAAATGGTGCAATCATTCTGGAAGGCAGTTTGGTGTTTTCTCAAAAAAGCTGAACATAGAAATTCCATATGACCCAGCTATTTCACTGCTTGGAATTACCCTGAGAAAAAGAGAACTGAGGGACAAATGAAGATTTGTACATCAATGTTCATAGCAGCATTATTCACCATTGCAAGAACATGGAAACAGTCCAGATGTCCAACCACAATCGAATGAATTGAAAGATAATGGTACATATTCACACATATGTACACACTATGCAGCATGTAGGAGCAATGATTTTGTAATTATTAGCTAACTTGGGAGGGACTGGAGAGCATTATGCTAAGTGAACTAATGCGGTCCCGCAAGGACAAATATTGTATAAAATTATTATTGTAGAATGAATATGAGGATCTAAGGGGGGAGAGTGGAAGCAGAAGGATGAGGATGGGTGGAGGGGGTATTAAACATGGGGGTGTACAATTTGACGGGAGGGTGAGGGAAATTGGAAAAAATCTGGTAAGAAAAACAATGTATTCAAATTTTGTAATAAACTAACATAATAAAAAGAATAAGAATAAAAACCAAAACAAAATAGTTTTCAAGGAAAGACCTTTGATCTTTAACATTGGTTGAACAAATTAAAAGCAAATGAACAACCCTGTTACCATAAATCCATTCCGACTCATAGCAAATGTGTAGCAGACCAGAAGAAAGAAACAAGATTAGAATTTGGAAGCAAGGCTATAATCGTTAACTGCCATGTGGAGCAGCTGGTGGCTGCAAACTGCTATCATGTAATTTAACACTTAATCACTGTGCTGACATGGCTCCTTATTAATATAGATAGTTAACATATAAAATATGTCAGTAAATTATTTATATTTTATATTTAAAAGCAAGACTATAATAGTTTGTGGTGGGGGTGGTTGTTATGTGCCGTCAAGTAAACTTCGACTTAGCAATCTAAAGAACAATAGTTCTAGGAAGCACTGGTGGCATAGTGGCAAGAAGCTGCACTGCAATCCCAAAAGCATACAGTTCGAATCCACCAGATGCTCCACTGGAGAAGGAGGGGCAATCTCCTTTGCAAATTCCATGGCACACAACAAGAAAAAAAGCACAGTAGCTCTGAACTCTGCTCTATACCAAGCCAATCTCACTGTGTCACCAGCACATCTGCCCCCACTACCACAGTCATTGTGCCAATTCATCTCATCCAGGGTCTTCTTTTCCTGCACTGACCCTCTACCCTTTATAGCATGATGTTCTTCTCCAAGGACTGGTACCTCCTGGAAGCATGTCCAAAATATGTGAGATGGAATTTTAAAAATCCTTGCATCCAAAGAGTGACTTGGTTTCACACTCTCCAGGACAGATCTGTTTATTCCCATCGCAGTCCATGGTATTGCTCAATGCTCTTTCCAGCACCACAACTCAAAGGCATCAAGTCTTTTTCTGTCACCCTTACTTATTGTCCTACTATCTAATACAAAGCAAGTAAATGAAAGACCGTGACCTGGATTAAGCTCACCTTGGTCTCCAGACTGACATCATTACTCTTTAGCATTTTGGAGAGATCCCTGTCAGCACACTTTCCCAATGCAACTCGTCTCTTGTTTTTTCCCCGACTGTTGGTACCAGGTGTGTTGATTGCGTAACAGAGCAAGAAGAAATTGTTAACTATTGGGGAATGTTGGGGAGGGAGGGAGGGCCTCTGGCCAGGACAGATTGCCTAACTCCAGATAAGGGCAAGCCTCCCAATGGCCTTTAATAAAAGGTACAGAAAGCTCTCCTGTGTTTGGCCATACTGGCTTGAGGAAGCTTGCCACCTGGGAAGATGACTGCTACATCTATTGAGCTGGGAGTAGTCTGCACGAGGCTGAGGTTCTCTCCAACCCGCATGTGCCACATCTGCAAGCCCACCCTATCCTGTCTTCCTGTTTACTTGCTGGTATTTAAGTGTGCTGCAACCCCCAATAAAGTTGAGCTGGATTGACTCTCTGGATAGCTCCCAGAATGGTGTGTCTCTGTTGTGCTTACCCTCATCAGGGTGTTGCTGTTCATAGCCAGCAAAGGGACAGTGACAGTTAACAATCTCAATAGTATGATTAATTTACTCTACATATGACTTTTGAGCTGGTCCAGGTGCTGGACTAAATGGCAAGGGTTAAGAAGAATCACACTCAATTTTTGCTCGCAACAAGCACAGGACAGGGTCTACACTGTACAACAGCCACCACCCACATGTAGATACTGAGCTCTTGAGATGTAATTGGTGTGAGATGCAATGGACTATAATGTAAAACACACAGAGGATTTTTGAATGTCAAGTGCAAAAGAAAACAGCCTGATAGCACAGTGGCTAAGTGCCAAGCTGCCAACCTGAAAGACTGGTGATTTGAACCTGCCGGCTGCTCTGTGGGAGAAAAACGTGACAATAGGCTTCCATAAAGACTGCAGCCTGGAAATCCTATGGAGCAATTTTACTCTTATCTTGTAGGTTTGCTGTGAGCCAAAAATGCAACAACTCTGTACAATGAGAAGCCCCTGGCTGGAGGAAACACTCAATCACTCAATTCATTTAACTGCTAACAGAAAGGTTGATGGTTCAAGTCTACCCAGAGGTACCCTGGGAGAAAGACCTGCTGATTGCTTTGAAAAAAAATTAGTCACTGAATGTGCTCACTTCAGCAGCACATATACTAAAATTGAAACAATACAGAGAAGCTTAGCATGGTCCCTGTGCAAGGATGACATGAAGAGGGGGGAAAAAAGAAAAGGAAAAGTATCAGTCACTGAAAACCCCATACAATACAGTTCTGCCCCAACACATAGTCATCTATGGCCAACTCAACAGCATCAGGTTCCGTAATAGGGGGAAAAGAAAGTTATCCCTTTTCTTAATATTTTATGTTAGTTACTCATAGCAATGAAATTTTTTTTGAAAATTTTTTTATATATTTAAAAAATGGTTTCAAAAATGTACATTTTTTTATTTGAGTGGGTATTTATAAGAAAATTAGCTTTTCATTCACCAATTAAGTCAGATTTATTGATCCTTCTGTCCCCTTCATTCCCTTATGCACATCCTGTACCAATTGGTTAGATGCATCACTCATATCTTTCTTTTACACTACACTTTTTTCTCTTTAAGAGGTTTTTCTCCTTCTCCTAACATGTTGCCTTATCCTGAGAGGTACTTAAAATCCCAAGTATTCCCTCCCTTTTTTTATTCATTGTTGCATATTATCTCTCTCTCCCTCTCTTCTCCCTCCCCAGTCCACCCTCTATATGCCCCTACTTCCAGACTGTTCTCATACATATAATGCATAATCATATATTCCTTTCAGATAGTTCTTCCCTCTCTGTTCTAATGCAGTGTTCATTATATATCCATTCTTTCCCCATTCGTTCACCAACGCCCTATGCCCGTCATATTTTATAACAGTGGTGTTATGCAGTATTTCTCCTTTTGTGACTGACTGAGATATTTTACTTAGCATAATGTCCTCAAGGCTCCCTCATGTTATGTAATGTTTCACTATGTCATTGTTTTTCAGTGCTGCATAGTATTCCATTGTGTGGATATACCATAGTTTCTCTATCCATTCATTTGTTGCTGGACTCTTGGGTTCCTTCCATGTCCTTGCTATTGTGAATAATGCAGCAATAAACATGAGTTTCTGCAGAACAGATTATCTGGGAGGCTGGGCTCTATGAGGAGAAATGTGGCATCAGGATTGGAGGAAAACTCATCAACAATCTGTGTTATGCAGATGACACAACCTTGCTTGCTGAAACTGAGGAGGACATGAAGCACTTGCTGCAGAAGGTCAATGAATGCAGCCTTCAATATGGATTGAGGCTCAATATCAAGAAAACAAAGATTCTCACTACTGGGCCAATTGGCAGCATCATGAAGGATGGTGAAGAGACTGAGACTGTTAACAGCTTTAGTTTGCTTGGCTCCACAGTCAACACTCTTGGCACCAGAAACCAGGAAATCAAAAGACATATTGTAATGGGAAAGTCTGCTGTTAGAGACCTCTCCAAAGACTGAAGAGCAATGATGTCACTCTGGCGACTAAGGTGCACCTGATATAGTCCATGATCTTTGCAATGACTTGCTATGCATCAGAGAGCTTGATAAT